ATAAAACAGGAAACTTAAATAATAAGGGATCACATATTTGCAGGCAACATTTTGATTAAAAATACATATACATACATGAGGTGCAGAAGCACATTTACTGAGCATAAGCCATTGTCATGTGACCACCTTGACCAAGAGCTATCGCTCTAAAACACTGCCTTTTCAATTACTTCTAGTAATTTTTAGCATGAAGCCAATTTAATTATGTCAGTATTTCAACAAAAGTTTAACAGTATGGACTAAAAACCATTAACTCACGATTCTGGTTACTTTAAAATTTGGTATGCTGTATCTCAAATACATTAGTAACTATTCCTAGATGGAAATAAGCAAATACATGGAATCATTAAAAAAAAAAAAAAAGATAAAACATTACTAAATGCCCATTTGTACAGACAGAACATTACAAACATCTAAAATGTCTTCAATAAAAGAAAAACGTGTATTTTTAACCCTTTGGTATCCAAACTCTTAAATAAGTAATTATGAAAACGTTCATAAATATATTTTTTCAGGTAACAGTAGGAAGAAACTATTTTTTAAAGTTTCTACTTGAATAAATTTGGTGCCAAGTTTTCATTTCAAGTTCAACACTACTGGGGATAGTTTTAATTTGCAACTGAACCCCAACTATGTTTGCATACATTAAAATACAACAGCATCATTCAAAGAGTCTGACAAAATAGTTAACAGGCTCCCACTGTAATTTGGCAAAGGAAAAGACATCTGAATTTAGAAATCATTGATTTTATTTGAAAGCACTATTTATAAAAGCAGCAATTAAACAAATACTGAAGCGTGGGCACTATTCAGGCTGCTGTGACAAGTCTAGAGAGCCACAGACCCCCCCATCTACCTGCTCCTTCCCAGCAAGCAGATCCCTCCACCTGGGCGGTCGCTTAAAAAGGAAACCAGAGTCAGGAAACCCAGTGTGCTGCAGTGACAAGGTCAGAATGGAGCACACAGGATCCCAAGATCAGAAACTAGTAACTCAGATGACACTTCTCCTACATTTCATATTTGCACTATTACTTTCAAGGGCAAATAGGTGAACAAATGAAACTTCAAATGTGAATAAATGTCTAATAAAGTAAATACAGATTACATTTTGCCAAGGGCAAAAGTGGAAAACCAACTTTCGACACTAACATTAGATATGCTTGTCACATGATTTGCCCCAATGAAAAAATTTTGCTTCTAGACAGAGCTCTATGGGTCAGCAAATAAAGGTGGGTCATAAACCTGGACCAAACTAAACCAACTCCATTTCAATTATGAATTATTAAAAGTTCAGCAAACACTTTTTTTCCCAACACTGAAAAATCTATTAAGATCCCATGTGAAGACTTTTGTAACTATAATTACCTGTGTCCATTTTCTAAATCAGGCAAGAAAGACTTTTTCAGAGTGAATCACTGAACTTGCCTATATAAGGCCATGATGTGTCTCTCCCTATCTGATGATCATAACTAACTTTCTCTTTGGATCAAAATAATTAAGTTAAAATAAATGTAGCTCATTGGAAGATCTATCCAGTCACCAGAGAATCAATGGCTTTTATGAAATACTCTCTTATAGAAAGCTGTGGGACTCTGTCACAAGATAATTAAACACTGGCACCTGTATAAAGTGAATATGAAAATAGACTAGCAAACTGGCCTTCAATGCAAGCAATTCTGAATCTCTAAATCTTATTAAATCTATTTTTCTACTCTGAGGCATTAAAAAATCTACTTTTATAGACTGATATGGAAACATTCTCCATTATCTCTTAAGACAATAAAAATATTAAAAATCAATCAGTGTCAAAGTACTGAAGTAAAGCTAATTCAAGGGTAGAAATCCGTAGATTACAAAATTGGTAGTAAAAGGTCATCTTAACTATCAGCAGACGGCAAATGTTCAAGATTCTTTCTTGGAATCACATTAAAACTTAATTTTGTATTGTTACTTATTTAATCATCCAAAAGAAGCATCAACTTTTCCATGTTATGATTCGCCCTTCTTCCAATCAAACACCCTCTACATGTAACAAGCAGCATTCAAATCATGACTGCAAAGAACTGAACTGTCACATAAGCAAAGTTAAAGATGGTGACAGTTTAACTTCATGAAAACTCCTTACTTGAGAAAAAAATGAGTGAGAAGCATCTGTAGAGGTTTGGATCATTTAAAGCATACACATGGCCACAGAACCGCCACAATCCTGTTGGTTCTTATTGTGGATGTAAACAGTGGCAAATAGCAACGACAATCATATAAGCAGAAACAAAACCTCACATGAAAAAGAAAACTTGGCACCAAAACTCAAGATGTAAAATAAGAGAAGAGAAAGAAACTCCATCAACATACTCACGTGTGGTGCTAGAAAGTGCGCCGCAGCGCACGGCAGCGGCAAGCGTTACCTTACGGACGCGGCCTACATTGACAAGTAGGTTATGTAACAAACCGCTCTAGCCACGATCGCCTGGCCCGCGGGCCCTCACCATTATCTACCCCATGACCAAAAAAGCAGCAACTTCAGATTTTGGCCACTTTATGTAGCAGATATATAAAAAGCAAAGTAGGAGTTAATAACAAAATTATTAATTACCACCAAGTGTGATAAACCACTGATACAAGATAGCTCTTAATCTAATCACAGAAAAAGGAAAATTTCCACGACTGCGTCTGCAGCATGTGATGTTAAAGTTAAGACTCCAGTTCAGTCCGGACTGGGGGAAAAATTAGTAACTTTAAGGAAGTTAATTTTGTGCCCCTTGATGCTCTTAAAACAAAAAGGCACTGGTCAGGACTGCACCTTACCGTATGGACAGCCTAACAGAAAACAAAAGACCTAAGTATCATAATTTAGAGGGGAATCAAACTATTATTTGTTGGCAGACTAAAAGTGTTACACTATATAAATGTGCAGAATAGACATTAAAAAGCAACTTACAATTTGGCTTACTGGCAAAATTGACATTTTATCTATATGTTAAAACTGAATAACCACATATACAACAGCAATTAATAATGACCACTTGTGCTCTATCTCCAGGCCAAACACTTATAAATTTAAAAACTGCTTTTGGCTAGGTGGCTTGGGCTAAGTATTTGCTGTGAAACATATGTGAAAGCTCAGACAAGGGAAGTCACCATATGCAGGGAGCCGAGGGAGTGGCTTATACTGAGAAGGAAAGCAAGCTGGCACTCGAGGCCATGCTCTGTCACACTTGGTGGGAAAGAGACACTCGAGGGTCCTGGAACAAGGACAGAACTGTAAATAAAATGATCTCATTTAAAAAAGACACCTATTAAAAAAAAGGACATAGCGAAAAGAAAGATATTTATTGGTTCAAAGGATTAAGCTATCCATTAAAGTGAATAAAACTAATATCTTAGCAATAAAATGCTCAGGACCAATTATTGTTTAGAAAAACAAGTCATCGAGAAGATCAGCTTCTGATTATTCATTATTTTAATAAATGACAATTAAGGAATTTAATCAATTATTATGACTCTGTATTTCATAATCAAAGCTTCTGTTATTAAAATTAAAGATCAGAGTTTTAAACCTAAAAACAGCTAAGAAAATGGCATCTATAACTTTGCTTTAAAGCAATGCATTGAGAATCAGCTCAGTGCTTTTTAATACTGTGTAATATATTCATTAGGGAATCATCCATTGTTTTTACATTACCTTAAGTTATAACTACATATGAAGTCACAAGGCTCCCTGCAATGTAACAGTTAATACAGGTCATAGTTGTAACACTAAATGGTTATATAGGTAAATGATCCAAGCCCATACTAATGTCCAATCTTAACAATGTAATACTTAATGAAACAGAAGCTAAGATACTAAGAGCCTAATGATAGCCCTTGGTATTAGACAGGCCTTACATTAATGTATATGGTTCTGCTGTCCAGGATCTAATTTCAATATTTATTATAACACAGAGTCAAAACAATGAAGTGGAAACCAAAGGGTTAAACTAAGTTAGTTCTGTGGGTTTTATTTTTCCCAAAGTCTAAATTTTCACATTTCCAATTAGAATAAAGTGATTTGTAATTAATTTTTATGAAATATTCAATACACTCAAGGTAAAACAAAAAAGCTGATATTATCACAGTTATTTTGGTTATTACAGCTCTATAGCTTACACTCAACATTTAAGGGTGAAAACCGCATCCATTTTGTTAATGCTGTGAACTGCAGAAGAAAAATTTTTATGATAAATCTTTAAGAGAAAGTTAATACAAATGAATTTAATACTAAAATAAATGTATAATGCCATGTCTAGCTAATGATTTGCATACACAATCACATTTTAAAATTAATACACTTAAATGCTAATATTGTTCTATGAAGCTATAAATAGGCCAGTTGATGTAAACTGGGCTAAGACAAGGATATTCTAAAATAATGACATCAGTATCAAAACCTCAGAACGAGCTTGAAGTCTTTATTGTATATAGTTCCATATTACATGGAATTATAAAATCATTAAAAATCGTAGTTAGGTTTTAAAACATAAGATGTTCTCACATCTAATAAAAGATGAGGAAATAAAAATTTAGAAAAGCTAATTGTCTGCAAGATATTTTGAGCCAGAGAGGCCTGAAAAGATAACGTAATCCAATTCAAGGCACTCATTTGGAAATTAAAACTTGGCAAAGTTTGAAGACTCGCCCACAGTGACACAGCTAGGAGGTGGTAAAGTCAACAATGCCAGGCCCCAAACTTAATGAGTTAACTGTCATCTCCACCCTAATACCCTCGCTCACTCTCTCTCTCTCATGCCAAGAATTCCAAGGCTGCTGTGATCAAGGCCCCTTCTGCTAGTGGTCAACATTACCCACACAACAACCTGCTTACTACCGCCAACTGATCTAAAAAGCAGAACTATATTACTAATGTTAAAAACAAAGCTCAGAACTTGTGCTTGCTCTAAGCCTGTCTCTAACACAGCACCCGACTACATATTTGGTTGGCATGAATAAATGAAGATGCTTACTCGACTTGAGCCCCGTTAGCCACCAGGGCACTAATGCAGTCCAGGCTCCCAGAGCGAGCCGCCTTGTGAATAGGAGTCTCGCCCTCACAGTCCTGTAACGACAAAATGATACACAACAGTGAAGACATTCAGATCGTCATTAATGAAGGCCATGGACCATTTCAGCCTTCTTTGAAACAGAATAAGGTGAGCTGAATTTGATGCAAAACACAAAGAAATGTAGATCAAAGAGCAGAGCAGACCAAGGAAGGAGCACACTGCTGGATTCTCAGGGCGAGAACAAAACAATCAAGGGGCCTTCGCAGCAATGATAGCACATATACTATAGGCGCAATTTAGAAATAACTCTTACAGTGAAAGAAAGTGAAGTCGCTCAGGCATGTCCGACCCTTTGCGACCCCATGGACTGTAGTCTACCAGGCTCCTCCATCCATGAGATTTTCCAGGCAAGAATACTGGAGTGGGTTGCCATTTCCTTCTCCAGGGGATCTTTCCAACCCAGGGATTGAACCTGGGTCTCCCCCATTGTAGGCAGACGCTTTTACCGGGAAGTCTTCACTGTGCGAATGCATATACAACCCAAAATCATCGTCCTCAGACAAAGCTAGTAATCCAGGCCTAACATCCAATGTCTGGTCTAGTCTACCCACATTCATCTAAGTCTCCCACAGGATAGCCGGAGGCCACACATCATCTCAGGCACACCCAGTGCCCCCACTGCCCCGCAAGTTTTATCCTGAGCGCCAATCAGGCCTATACTTTAGACAAGACTGCTGAGATAAAGGGTCGAGAAAAAATAGGAAGAGAGAACATGGAGTCAGACTCAGGCAGCTCCCTACACAATTTAGGCTGTTTGTGACAGGCAACTTTGTTTAAGGACTTTCAGAAAGGCTGCATTAGAACCTGACTGACCCTTCAGAAAACAACAGTGAAGGAGGCAGAGAAGTGAGCAACTCAGGGAGAGGACTCTGAAGAATAATACAATCAATTAAAAAAAAATTAACTCTACACTGTATGAAAGAACCAAACAAATCTGAAATACAATTTCATTCATAGACTTTGGGGTAAAATAAAAGGTCAAGAAAGACAGCAATCAAGAGAAGCTGTTTCCATTAAAACAAGTGATTTAGGACTTTCTGCCTCAGAAACACCAACCGTTCTTGAATCAATCACATCCCATCATCACTGAATGTGAACTTGGTATAGAAGACCACACATAGGTAAGGGAAAAGGCGCAAAGCAGGAGTGGGGCAACTGCTCACGGTGCGCAGCACGTGGGAATATTAACTCATGGGGGAAACTAGGTGAGGGCTGGAGTAGAAAGAGGGGTAGAGCATTTTATTAAAAAACATAACATGAAAGACTCAGCTGCTTACTGGAGGCAAAAGCATGTGTATTTAAGTTCAAAAGCGACATAAAATTCCCAGCAGAATAGTCCCATTTTTGAAGAAAGAAGCAGAAAAGCATGAGACTATACAGTAAACTATTTGGTAAAGTCAGACTTAAAACAACTACGAAAACCTACCCCTGTTCTCTGAAAAGGGAAGGGAGGGGAGAGGAGGCACATGCTAAGGACATGTAACAAGGAGGTAAAGATCTCCTACGTGCATCGCCAGGAGAAGCAGAACTAAGACTTAGATGAGATTTTGCCAAATAACACTAAAGAAAACAGAAAAGGATTTTAAAAACTATCTTTAGTGTAAGAAAAAAGGTTTTCTATGTTATTTCAAGAAGATGGTGGGACAGCAACACAAGCCAGAGGAGAAAGCAAAACCACCCTGCTGCTTCTTTGTGTTATACGAGGAGACCATGTAACCTGGGAAGGGCAGAATGAACACTATTTAAAGAAAACTGCAACCAGCAGAACGAGAGTCAAGAGCCATTTTATGGTTACTCACATCTCAAGTTCAGACCAGTCATATTTCAAAAATACCAAACAGCTTGTAATATGACTCTAGAACTACTGCTGGCAAACTGTGACTCATAAAAGACAGAGGGAGAAGTGCCAGGAATCTGAAGCAGACAAGTCACCTTGAATTTTAATTGAAAAAAAAAAAAAATCTCATTTCTAACCTAGTTATAAGAAACTAAAGGCAGTGTCAACACCAGCACCGTTCTAGGGGTATTAAAGAGGTGACTTATGGACTACAAAAATCCACTTAAAACTAACTCCACTTCCTCTTTGGGTAATCTCAGAGCACTGAGCCTCGAGACAGCACGTCCAAGCTTCAGTAACCACTCGTGCCAATCTTAGCGATGGCAGCGAAAGTCTCCATTAAACTTGAGGAAAATGAACTTAGAAAGGTTAGTAACTAACATGTCCAAGATTAAGACTAAAACATGAGTTAAAACAAAATTTATTAAGAACACTAGGTTCCAAAAATCATATGCACACAAAGAATAAGAAAAAGTTGGATCTAGCTATGTACATTTATGTGGGAACTGAGGAAAAACCGTCTACCTTGAGATGATCCAACAGGAAGCCTCCTGGGCCTCGGGATGCCGGTCACCGAGGCCCAGCCTGGCAGCCGCGACTCAGACAGGTTGAAGTTCCACATGTGAGACCAGTCAGCCAAGGCCCTCCCAAGAGCAACGTCAGGACACTTAAGAAACCCAAGCAATACCCCCGTCCGTGAGAGGACTGGGGGTGTGGAGCCAGGTGGGCTGTTTCAACACTAGAGGAGAGCTGCAAGGAGACTGGGATCTTGGGACGTCTGCCCTGGGAGCAGAACTGAGGAGGGCTTCCACACAGTACCATCCAGAGCAGCTCAGGGAAGGGGTGTCTGTGGAAAATACCGAGCTGCTATAAATCATTATATGAAAAGGGGGCTTCTGGGCTTAAAACTCTTTGAAACACAGCATTAGACGACATCTTTAGAGCTCTCCAAATTAAATGTTATGTAACAACTTAATTAAAATCATCATAAAGAATGTTCTCCTCTTAAGACTCCACATATATACTAAACAGCAATTACTGCTATTCACACCGTCCTATCTCACTGATAAGGAGAGTGAGTCAAAGCCAAGGGAGCAGCTCGCCCAAGGCCAGAGGGGCGAGGGGGGGGAGCCCAGGAGCAGGGAGAGCGGCCAGCGGGGACAGGCGCCGCCCAGCGCCACAGCCACACACAGCCGCCTGCCTGCAGCTCCTCAACTCTCGGACAGCGGCGACAAGGCGCAGAAGGGCCAGGTCTGAGAGGCGGCGGCGTGGAGGGCAACAGGTGAGGGGAACAGCAAGAAATGGGCCTAAATCCAGGCTCTCCTTGTAGCCCTTCCTGCCTACCCAGTCTCATGAAGAGAATAAACGGCCTTCACCCCTCACTCCCCTTTCTCACTGACCCTTGACTTAAACGACTGCTACAACACCTTTCCTCAATCTGGTGTCCAGGAGTCACTTTCTACACGACACCAGGCTACCTCCCTCCATCTGGGCATCATCCCCACCTAGTACCTGGAGCGACATAACTCAGGTGGTAAACCTGCCAAAGCTAACGTAACCAGATGATGGTCGACGACTTCACAGCCATTCTCCTGCTCAAACAGGTGTGTTCTCACAACTAATGGTGGACATGAAGCTAAGGCAGCTGTGAGCAAGGGAGCCAGGAAACCTAGGCTCAAGACCAGACTCCTTCCGTCACCAGCTGTGACCTTGGGCAGCTCGCTGTGGACCACAGTAGGCCACACAACAGGTGAAAGCACTCTGAACAGAAAGCATTGCTATGTGAAGGCCAATTATCCACAAACAGTTTAATAAACTTAAGTTCCAGTTGGCCCACAGGTAAAGATCTCAAACTCTAATTAAGGCCTCAATGTAAAACTCAACACCGTGTAATTACAGCTGGAAGGAAAACAAAAGCAAACCACGTCAATCACAGGCACTCCCTTACCGGTTTGTTAATGCTGGCTCCTGCTTGGATCAACCAGACGAGGCACTGAGGGTGTCCCCCAAAAGCAGCGATGTGGGCTGGGGTCTGTGCGTAACGGGTGGTGGAGATGTCCAGGGTGGCTCCGGCTCTCACCAACTGTATCAAGCATTCCAACTTGGAGAAGAGCAGGAGAGGATGAAACAGGCACAAAAGTCAGTATACTAGTAACATAACTCAATCTAAATTCTATGGTGGAGATGAGTGGTGTTTTGCCAAACTTGTTTCTATTTAACAAAGTCATGCCTTCCCAATATCACAAAATTTAAAAGACCTATTTAAAAACACATTTTTTCTCTTCCTTGTAAAAAAGCTGGTACACAGGAATAGGAAGTCAAAATGATGGCCACAATACAAATTTAAATATTTTTCCTACAACTAACAAAACCAATATAATGCTGTAAATCAACTATAATTTGATTTTTAAAAAAGCCCAAATCAGAAGAGACTAGATTGTATATTCAATGATTTTGATCAGAACTAAGCTTTGCCACCTTCACGAACTATTCTAAAAAATTATAAACAGTTAAGAGTGATTGGTTGGATTTTCTGCATCCTGCACAGGCCGCACTCAGGCCCAGCTCCAGATCTCAGGGAGAAGACGGTGCAGGGCAGACGAGAGGGTAGCACTTCATCTTGTCATCGTCTGCAAGAACCCCTCCCCCAATCAAGGATAAAACAGGCCGAGAGGGGCACAGGTGAGCTCTGCCCAGGCAGGTGACTCAGACAGACAGACGGGCGGGAGTCAAGATGAGACTCTGCAGCCAGGCACCAGTATCACACTCAAGTATTCAGCAAGTGCCCACGCTGTGCCCAGCACTGTGAGGGAAGGTCCTCTGTCCTCAGAGACTCCCACTGTTCCACCCAGTGTGTCCTCAGATCGAGGACGATCGCCTGTTTCTCCTCCCCAAACACCATGCAGAGTCAATGGGGAAGGGTCTCACCCCGTATCTCTTATCCTCTTTCAGCAATTTCACTGTTTCCTTGCAAAGGACAGAGCACTGCCATCAACGATTTTGTGAGGATGAACTCACAGTTGGTGGTACAGATTTAAAATATGATTTGTCTTCAAGAAACCTGAATCTGAGAGTAAAGGCTGAAAAAGAGGTGCTATTTTGGTATATTTTTATATAATGCTTTTATTAATGTACTGAGTGAAAAATGAAGGCCAATAATAGTAACAAGATGAGCAGGTCTCAAAGCCAACAAAAATGAAACAAGAATAAAAATAGCTTGACATGCCAAATGTGGTTAATCTTAGTATGAACTGAGAGATCCCGGGACCTAAATTTGTTAACCGCGGTTTGATGAAGGAAACCAGGTTTGGAATTTTGTAAAGATACTGTTCAGTATGACATCTTGTAAAAACAAGGTATAATTAGAGTTTTTAAATGATGTCTGGTTTAGTCCTCTGGGAGTGAGCAAGTCTCATAAAATGGTTAGGTAATTTGTGCGCAGTTGGCACATTTCTAGGAACACAGATTGAGGGCCGAGAGTAGTTCATGACGTGCTAAGCACTCAGCTGGCTCTCGCGCAGCGAGAACAATGAAGGCGTGCGTGCATGCTCAGTTGCATCTGACTCTTGCAACGCCACAGACTGCAGCCCGCCAGGCTCCTCTGCCCATGGGATTTCCCAGGCAAGAACACTGAAATGGGCTGCCACTTTCTCCTCCAGGGACTATTCCCAACCCAAGGATGGAACCCACGTCTCCTGCATTGGCGGGAGAGGGGTGGGGTGGGTGGTTCTTCACCCCTGAGCCACCTGTGATGCCCTGAGAGTAGTTCGCAACATGCTTAATGGTTGGCTGGCTTTTGCACAGGCAGAGAATAGTGAAGGCTTGTGTGTACACCAAAGGAGGGAAGTTGCTGGCAGGGTTGGGGGAGACAGGGCTGAGAACCCTCAGTCAGGAGTCCTGGCCTAACTTCTGCCCTACCAGCCTTTTCTCACGGCCCCTTCTGTATCTAAGACCCAACAGTCAGAGTAAAGACAAGGGAAGGCACGAAAATAAAAACCTCCAGTTACAACTTTTGGTCTCTGAGGGTCATCTACTACTTGGTGTCCAACGTGTACTACTCATGTTCTGTACAACTAGAGACTTGGTGAATTCAGCTGGTTTCATTTTTATTACAAAATACACACGCATAAAAAAAATACACATGCATGAAATTCACCATCTCCATCATCATAGCCATCCTCCAGTTATGGCTATTTTTAATTCCTAGATACCTGAAGGTACCTGTGCCTTGGCAAACACTCCAAACAGCCCTTTGTATAGAGCCCCCTAAGCGTTTTACAGAACGTTTGGGGTCGCCCTGCTGTGTCCTTCCCAACCAGGCTAGCGAGGGTCAGAATCAATAGGGGAACCTTTACCCCCAAAATCTGCCTTGCCTATTATAAGGGTGGTGGTGGCTCTGTTTAGTCCCTAAGTCGAATCCGACACTTTGGGGCCCCACGGACTGTAGCCGCCAGGCTCCTCTGTCCACGGGATTTCCCAGACAAGAATACTGGAGGGAGTTGCCATTTCCTTCTCCAGGGGATCTTCCCAACCCGGGATGGAACCGTCCCCTGCATTGGCACCTAGGCGGCCCGTTACCAGGGTGTCTTCACCCCCCATCCCCAACACTAAGATGCCGAGAACCAATGCTTTTTAGTTTAAAAATGAAGCAAGATCCGCTCAGCAGGAACATGGCTCCCAGGCTAATTGACCGGCCGGGGAAATCCACATTCCAGGCTGAAGGGAGAAGCACCGGAAAGCGCTTTTATTCTCGTTTGTTGACACTGATTTCCCCCGGGCAAGCGGGGTGTCGGAGGATCTCACGGCCCCGGACGACTAGCCTCCTGGCCCCGCCGTCGTGACTCCCCCTCACTTCTCTCACTGAAATAAACCCGACTTCGTTTTCCTGGGGGATGGGAAGCTGCTTCCCAAAAGTTCTCGCTGGGCTGTGACCGCAGCGGGCACAAATAAGTCATTACGGCCGCTTCTGAGAAGCCTGGTGGACCTCCCAGGACGAGCACTCCTCGGGTCAAACAACCCCACGGACCGCGCGGAGGGGGCACGCCGGTGCCTCTCGTCAGATCTAAAGCGGCGCCAGTACTCTTGCCTGGAGAATCCCAAGGACGGAGGAGCCTGACAGGCTACAGTCCATGGGGTCGCAAGAGTCGGACACGACTGAGCGACTAAACCACCATCCGCTCCGCCCAGTCCCGATGTAACTGACGCGCCGTGGACCTGACCAACGCGGGCAACACGCGGCACGGAGCCCCCAGAATCTTCGAGCGCCGCGTCCGACAGGCTGCCGGGGACGCGGCCGCCTCACCTCGAAACCCTCCAACTCGGCGCTCTGGTGGCGGCCCCGCCTAGAGAACTGAGGGCGGCTCCCCTCCGGGGCGAGGAGGCCCGGCAGAGGCTCCGCTCGGAGAAGTTCCCCTCAGAGAACCTTCTCTCAGAGACGCGCCCGCGCGCCGCCCTCAGAGAACCTTCCTTCAGAGACGCTCCCGGACGGCGTGTCGGGGCGGCGCGAGAAGGCTCCGCTGGGAGAAGTCCCCTCAAGAGACGCTCGCGCCGGCGCGCCACTTTGCGCGCCGCGTCTCCATCACGGGCGGCCCGGCCCTCGGCCCCGCCGGCTGCGGACGAACCTCGCCGCCAGGGTGGCGCCTCCGGACGGCAGCCCGCATCCGAAACTTGCGCCGCCGCACATGCGCCGCGCACGCCGGGCCCGTTTCCGCCGGCGCTCCCGGCGCGCCCTGCGCGCCCCTCGCGGCCGCGGTCGCCCCCCCCCCGCGCCGCCGACCAAACGCCCGGGCCCCTCGGGGCGCCGCCGCGGCCCCCCCGGTTTCCGCCCCCCGTCCCCGATACGCCCCGCGACCCCCGAGCCTCGGCCCCCGCCCCCTTCTCCCCGGCCCCCGCAGCAAAGCCGCGGAAGATGGCGCCTTAAAGGGCCCGCGCCCACCTTGCCGAAGTGCGCGGCCCAGTGCACCGGCGTCCAGCCGTAGAAGGAGTCCTCGGCGGCCAGATGGGCGCGCGGCGTCTGCTGCAGCAGCGAGCAGAGCGTGGCCAGGTCCCCGTCGCGGCAGGCGCGGTGCAGCGGGAAGCGGAGCGACAGCAGCTCCTCGCTGGAGAAGCCCGCCTCCACGCCCGCGCCCGCTCCCACCGCCGACATGGTCCGTCACGGAAGAGCGCGGACTGACGAGCAGAGAAGACGCCTCAGGGAGCACCCGAGAGGCCACCGCCGCCGTCGGAGCACAAAGGAGCGAGAGCACCGCGGCCGCCGCGTCCCGCCCGCTGCCGAGCCGAGAGCGCACAGGGCCGGGGCGGGGCGGGGCGGGGCGGGGCGGGGCGGGGGCGGGGCCTGCGGCCGTTGGCTGGGGGCGGGGCCTGAGGCGTCGGGGGTGGAGCCAGGATCCCTGGGGGCGGGGCGGGGCTGGGCCCTTCCGGGGCCCTGCGGGCGGGCTTGCGTCTCCTGCCCAGACCTTAGGGCTGGCCGCGTCTTGACTCCCTTAATGAAAACTTCCCGGAGCCGCAGGTTTGGGGTGCGGGCGCGGCCCCCTGAGGCTACGGCCGCGCGGCTCTAATTCTCGTAGTGAAACAGGCGGGGCGTCCGTGGGGCCCCGAGAGCGGCTCCCGCGCTCTGGGTCCTGCTTCTCAGGTGGGCTGCACGCTTCCGAGATCCCACGGCGAAAACGCTGAGAAACCCTGCAGCACTCAAGGAAATACCAAATGCTCTCTCTGTGGTCGAGATCACAGGTCTTTAAAGATTTTTTTTTATGATTTGAGTAATATGTGAAAATCATCAATCATTTCATTATCAAGGAGTAACGTCTACTAGGGAGAAGGGAATGGCAACCCACTCCAGTGTTCTTGCCTGGGAAATCCGTGGATAGAGGAGCCTGGTGGGCTACAGTCCATGGAATCGCAAAGAGTCGGACACGACTGAGCGACTGAGTGCAACCTCTCTTAACGTGTGTTCCTGCTTAGTCGTGTCTGACTCTGCGACCCCATGGACTGTAGCCCACCAGGCTCCTCTGTCCATGGAATTTCCCAAGCAAGAATCCTGGAGTGGATAGCCATTTCCTTCTCCAGGGGGTCTTCCCAACCCAGAGATCGAACCCGGGTCTCCTGCACTGCAGGCAGATTCTTTATCACTGAACCAGGGGATTGCAAGTAGTTCCACAGGACTGAGCCCCTAAGCACACATACACATTTAAGTAGCTGTCCCGAAATAGGCCAAAAGGATGATGACTGCCTAAGACATGCCACATGGTGGCTGTGGATATGCGAAAGATGAGGGGCAGTCTTGGGAGTCCTGCTAAAGCCAATAGTCCAATTGTTTGGTCCCAGATTTTGCCCAACTCTTACAATTATTACTACTTACAGATTTTCTTTAGGGCTGTTGTTTTTAAAATGTCCTAGGAGGAGAAAAGTATATTCATAACTCACATCCTTTGATTTTATTTGACAAAGCAACTGTATATAAATGACAAGGGTTCTCTCCTTGGCTGAACTCTACTCAGGCTCCCCTAAATTTCAGCAAGTCCTCAGCATTTGGACTTGTGTGTTCATCTCTGCATTGTCCGATTTTAGTGAGAATGTAAGTTGGTTTGGCTAGACTTCCCCATCTCTGATAACTGTCTATATCTAACCGGGTTCTTCATCCTCCCCCCGGGTGACATCTGCTCTCCCTGGCCTGCCTTCAGCAAGAATCCTTTTAGGTCAGTTTAGCCAGAATCCTGGACATTTAGTTGACCTCTTAGTTATCCTCCTGTTAGTAATTCCCCATCCACTGACACCCTCCCTGCTCCTTAGCCTGAGTCCCCACTTACCCTTGACGTATTCAGAGTTTAGTCCAGTCCTTCTGGACTGCAAGAAAAAAACGAGATCTCCCCAGTCCCATTGTGGTGACCCCTGCACCCATTTGAAGGCTCCCATTGAATTAAGTCTGCCTTTCTACACTTTAACAAGTGTCTTTGAATAATGTCTTCTTTAACAGTTTGAAATAATTGTTTTTCTTTTTTTGGTAATTTTTTTCTTTAATGTAAGCAAAATTGGGTATTTGAAGATGTGATGGAAAAGAGGAAGATCCAAAACTCAGTATATGTGTTAGAAACAAAGCCAAACCCAGCCCTGCCTTTAGGATTGGCATTGTGTTTTCCTAAAGGGGATTGTGTGTGTGAGGAACTGCTCGCACAGGCCAGGCTCAGAGGAAGAAAGTTCCCATGAGAGATGCACAGAGGGGTCCACAGCCTTGGTGGACAGCAGCGAGCCTCTTCTGGGCGCTGTGGTCACCCTGGAAACTGGACCCAGTGGATGGGGCGTCTCGGGAGACGAGGCTGGAGAGGAGGTGGGCGGCAGTGTCCACCACCTGCGGAGCCTCTGTGGTTCCTCACAGTGTCAGTCCTCGAGGGCTCTGTGTGCTGAGTACGGGAGGGCTGGGGTGCAGACGGGGGACGAGGAGGAGGTGAAGTGGCTCGGGAGGGGCGGGAGGGCCCACTGCGGTGGCCTAGGAGCGGAACCAGAGCCCCTACTGTCCTGTTCTCCCTGCGGCCCCTTCTCCCCGCCCCTCCGCCTCCCACCACGCTGCCAGGTCCGCCTGTGGAGACGGCAAGCCTGCGTGAACTTGGCTTTGAGAGCCTCAGTCCACTCAAGGGCTGCCATCAGAACTGCTGCATCTGCCTGGCTCAGACGGCAGAGATGTGTTTCCTGCAGCTCTGGGCGTCCGGGTCTGGGTGCCAGCACTGTGGGATCCAGGGAGGCAGGCGTCTCCCCCCGGTTCAGAGGTCTTGTCCTTACACCACGGACAGTCGCCCCGCTCCTATAAACCCTCAGCACAAACTTGCCTAGCTTGGCAAGTGCCGCTCGCAGTGACAACCTGCTCTCTACTGTGCTTCGGGGCGCTGAGAGGAAGGGGCCACCCTGTGGAAGGGGCAGTGTCCAGGAGGGGCCGTCTCCCAAGGGCCAGCAGTCCCAGGAGCCGGGCGAGCTCCATGAAGCGCAGGCTGAGACTCAGATCTGATGGATGGCCCCTCCTTTTCAGAAACAGAGCCTTGCCCTGGGCCAGGGATCTCCGCTATAAACAGCACGAAGGCTCTGGAATCTTACCGATTGTCCTGTTTGCCTTAAATCTTTTTAGAAAAGTGATTAGCACAAGTGCCCTTGTAATGAAACAGAAACAGAAGGTCTGTGCTCGCCTAGAAGCAGAACGTGAGAGCAGAACCGTGGGGGACGGAGGGTGAAGGTTTGCCGAAAGAAAGGGGAACAGCGGGTTGGCGGGCTGGCACCCGGAGACGGGCAGCTGGGTCGGGCTGCTCGGGGTCAGGGCCCTGCTCGCCGCCGAGGGAGACCGCAGGCCCCTCCCGACTGCTTGGCCTTTAACTTGCCAACTCGTGGGGGAGAAGAGCCCCAGGGAGCCCCAGCTATTATTAAGTGTGCTGGCCATTCCCGGAGGGGGCTGGGGGCTGAGTGGCCCGGAAGTCCCCGGGGGGCCACCCTGTGGGCAGGGCCCTGGGCAGAGGCTGCTGACAGCTGCGGGCTGGGCTGACCACGGGCACCTGGTGCCTGTCCTGTCATCCGCGCCCATCCTGACCACGGGCACCTGGCGCCTGTCCTGTCATCCGCGCCCATCCTGACCACGGGCACCTGGCGCCTGTCCTGTCATCCGCGCCCATCCTGACCACGGGCACCTGGCGCCTGTCCTGTCATCCGCGCCCATCCTGACCACGGGCACCTGGCGCCTGTCCTGTCATCCGCGCCCATCCTGACCACGGGCACCTGGCGCCTGTCCTGTCATCCGCGCCCATCCTGACCACGGGCACCTGGTGCCTGTCCTGTCATCCGCGCCCATCCTGACACGCCCACTCCTGAATGTGTCCTTTAAGGTTGTTCCGGAAGCAAGAGGACACAGCCAGCCTGGGAATCTCTGTTACCGAGGAGGGTGGGGTCCTAGCCCCCTGATGAAATGACTGGAGGGAGGCTGTCACAGTAAAAGCACCCTTGCCCTGGAGGCGAGGTGGGAGAGAAAAGCGCCTGTCTCTTGATCCCCGGGTGTCTACCTGGAAGACTACCGCGTGGGCGCAAACTGTCGTCCCACTCTGCTGGAGCCCTGCACCCCTTCCTGGCCGCGTGGGGCCGGGGATGTGGAGGCGGCCGGAGACAGGCAGGGTGGACGGAGCGGCGGCCCAGGGCGCGGTGGCCGGTCCTCCAGCCCTGCCCCGTCTCCCCCAGCTCAGGCTGAAGAAAGGTTCAGCTCAGTTCAGGGGTCTCCCTGGGCTTCCCTGGTGGCTCCAATGGTAAAGAATCTGCCTGCAATGCAGGAGACCTGGGTTTGATCCCTGGGTTGGGGAGATTCCCCTGGAGAAGGGAATGCCAACCCACTCCAGTGTTCTTGCCCGAATTCCATAGACATTAGAGCCTGGTGGGCGACCGTCCATGGACATGACTGAGCAGCTAACATTTCGCACTTCGTTGCAGGAGTGTTTCTCAGCCTGTTGGCATTATCTCCTTATTCATTAAAGAAGATCAACATTATTACAGCTGGTTCTGCACAAGGGTCCCAGTCAGGATCAGAGAGGTTGTGGGTGTGGAGGGGTTTTAGATGGAGAGGCTCTAGGTTACTCACTGTTCTCCAAAGCCTCTGTATTATCCTGCCCCCCACCCCGCCCCACCACCAACAATTTATAAAAATTTCAGTGACGCAGTGTCCCTGGCATGAGCTGTTGCTGTTAGCTGTGTCTTTTCTCTTGGAGACTGAGTCACAGTGACAATGCACCCAGGGCTCTTGTCAGACACAGGCACCGCTTAGAGTGTGAGCCAGCCGCTCCAAGTGTCCCCTTGGAGCCTGCCTGGCTCCCGGCACTGCCGGCGCTTGGGAGACCACCCCTCCTGGACACTGCCCTTCCCTGACCCCCTCGTCCCTGGTGCAGGGTGGCCCCTTCCTCCTCATGCCCCAAAGCACAGCACAGAGAAGGCTGTCACGCGAGCGGCACTTGCCAAAGGTTCGGAGACAGTGGCGAGGGCTTGTTCCTCTCCCAAGAAGAATCGGGGACCAGGAGCTGGCGTCACTGTCGCTCACTGGACCCTGCCTGCCTCTGTGCACCAGGGGTGAGAAGAGGGTAAGTCAGAGAGTCACGCCACACTCAAAATCTGGTCCGTGTGAGCTAGAAATAT